TTTTAGGTGGACAAGATACCTTTCAAATCCATCTCCCAGAGAATTTGAAGATTAGATTTTTCAAGATGGTTTGGTAAGCAATGGCTAGGGAATGGATACTGCAGATTGATTGGGCTGGGCATGAAATCATAGTGGTGTTGAAACAGTTTGTTGGTATGGGTCACCAGTCCAGGTGGTATCAGTTGGTCCACTAGAATGCAGTCTGAAAAATATCTCAAACACCAGTCTTTTTATCTTTTTTTTTTTTTTTTTTTTTTTTTTTTTTTTTTAAGAGATGGGATTTTGCTCTGTTGTCTAGGCTGGAGTACAGTGGTGTGTTGTTCGCTCACTGCAACCTCTGCTTCTGAGACTCAAGTGATCCTCCCACCTCAGCCTCCCAAGTAGCTGGAACTACAGGTTTACCACACCCAGCTACTTTTGTATTTTTAGAAGACAGGGTTTTGCCATGTTGGCCAGACTGATCTCAAAACGCTGACCTCAAGTGATCTGCCAACTTCTCAAAGTGCTGGGATTATAGGCATGAGCCACCACTGCATTTGGCCTTTTTTTTTTTTTTTTTTTTTTTTTAAAAAAAAGACAGAGTCTGGCTCTGTTGCCCACCAGTCTTAAGTTTCACAGTAGTGATGTTATTTATAGAAGCAGTTAGGAAAGTTACAAATCTTGCAACTCTTGACCAGTAAACAATTAAAGAAAGCAAGTTAGGAAACAGTAACGGGCCACTGTTTAGCTATGCTTAAACCTTATCAGAATAATTTTAACCTTACCACCTTTCATTAGTTTTACAAAGGCAGTTTCAGACCCAGAACGGGGGGTAGGGGTTGGTTTTTGGGAAGGGACTATGATCATCCTTGCTTTAAAGCTGTAAACTAAATTCCTCGGCTAAATTATAAACTAAATTCCTCCCATAGTTAGCTTAGCCTATGCATAGGAATGAACAGAGACAACTTGTGAGGTTAGAAACAAGGTGGAATCAGTTATGTTAGATTTCTTTCACTTTTGTAATTTTGCAACGGTGGTTTCATGTACAACCAGAGATGTTATGTGAAATATGCTTCTCTTCATTCCTGATGTTAGTGGAAGATGTTTTTAATTTTAAATTGTACTCCTCGTGTAGAAGATGTGTAATATAGCGTAGTAGGTATTTACTGGATGTCCCTTATGTGTTGGAGCCCTGTAGTCTGGTCCCAGGGATGTGATGAAGAGGAAACATGAGCTGTTCTTCAAGAAAGTGCTTGGTTCATTCTTGCAGAACTTGTAGGTTCCACCCAGCCTTGGGTCATGACAAAGGTTAGGTCATCACAGAGCATGCAGCATGCTTGTGCAGGCTCCTTACCTTAGCCTTTATCAAGGGTCCACATGAAGAGCATCTCTGCCTTTTCTCCAGAAGCTCCTTAGAGGTACAGTCCAGCATGGTTCCTTATTGTTCCTACAGCTGGCTCCATTTTATAAATAATTCACAGGATTTTTAACTTAAATGTCTCTCTTTCCAGAGAAACCAGTATGCTACTTTATCCAGTGAAAGCTGTTGGTTTCATTCTTTGCTTTGGCCACCAGGAAGATCAGGGCCAAATTGGTGTGTACTGTATACTAGAAGTAACGATTTCATTGCTTTACTAGGCCGATCTAACCCCTTTTGTAATTTATCAAAACGCTTTAGATCTGGTAAAGCATCTGGACCCCTACACAATATTGTATTATAATTTTAAGATGTTCTTGGATCCTGAAACATATCCTGGACCCTTACGGTTAAGGGTCCTGCTTTTGATCTTTTTATATCTTTATTTCAACTGTTCTGTACATAGTTTTATTCTAAGTTAACTTGACTTGATAGAAGTAAGTTATATGTAAATGATAAATAACATTGTTTTTAGAGGTTTGGGTACCGAGCAGTTGCCCTCCATGTATTTGACAGGTAGGCAATGGGAAATGTTTTTGTTCACCATAAGAGGAACTTTTTTGGCCCTCATAATGATTAAATTGGTGGGCTAATATAAATGTCTTTAGAGGCTATGGTGGCTCACACCTATAATCCCAACAATTTGTGGGCTGAGGCTGGTCTCTAACTACATACATACATACCTAACATACATACATACATAACATACATACATACAGTAGAGTTTTGGTCTAGTGATTTTCCAGGAAAAGCAACCTACAGATTTTGTTTTAACTCTTTTATTTATTTATTTTATTTTGGTGCAAATACCAGGGCCTAAAAGATGGAGGTCTTATGCTCTAAACGCAATTGTCAGTAGATATTCCGTAAACCTGTATGTTTATGACGTTTTTATGCCTCTTCTATGTGGTTTTTGGTAAAGTCTTAAAGCTATAAACAGGCTTTGGAAATTATCTATAGCACTGCAGTTTTAAAATCTGTTTCTGAACTAAGGCATGAGCCATTGGCCTCTGCCCATCAGGGTTGCTATTGACAGACAATTCTTCATGCTGGATCTCTAGTGGGAGTTCCTGAGTTGGAGGCCTTGGCCAAGGCTTTGCTCTTCAGCCTCCGTATATAGAGGGTAGTATTTTCATTTGTGGGCTTTGCAGGATACAATGCTTGATTATACTTGCCTTTGGAGATTTTTTGCTCTTTACTGTCCCCTTCAGACAGTAGAAGGGGAGGTTTAAGGTATGTCCCTTAAGAGTGTTCCCAAAACTAATGGTCAAATTCATGCTAAGGAGAAATGTTTGCACTAGCTATGACTTTCACTTCTTTTTCCCCTTCCCTCTTTGTAAAAGACAATTTGTAGTATATTTTGTCTAAGGGAGACATGACTACCCTAAAATTTTAATCATACCATGAGGAATCTATTATATATTTGAGTGGGAACCTGAGAATGCTGTGGCATACAAACAAAATTAATTAAAATAACTGATAAATCAGTTGTAGCTTTAAATGGGATTTTCGAAATTAAAATGTAGGAGAATTATGTTAATAAGCTCTGCTTTTTACTCTATCAAGTGTAGGAATGTGTTCCTTTGTGCAGTTTAAAACCACCATCACCTATGCCCTCTAGTGCTTATAGGATGAGTTTGACAATAAAATTGTGTTCCATGTTTCCTTCTTCTGCCCTAGTTACTGCTGAAATTCCTGGTGTGAGAGTTCTCTTAGTTGCTCTGATCCCAGCTTCCCTGAGCGTTGGAAAAAGTGTGGCTTTACTTATTCTCCCATCTGGTTCTACAATGCTGCTGTGGGGCTAGAGAAACAATAAGTGCATCTGGGCAAATATGGCAGACTCCTGGCAGTCAGCTCGTGGAAGCTAGGGCAATTTATGCCCCAGTGCTGCCCAGGTATAGAATACTGTCCTGAGGGTGTTTATCTGTACCAAGCCAAGGACATTATAGTTGACCCTTGAGCAACATGGGCGTGAATTGTTAAAGTCTACTTATCTTGGCAGGGGTGCCCCAGCTGGAGTGCAATGGCGTGATCTTGGCTCACTGTAATATCTGCCTCCTGGGTTCAAGTAATTCTCTTGCCTCAGCCTCCCAAGTAGCTGGGATTACAGGCATGCGCCACCACACCCAGCTAATTTTTTTTTTAGGAGAGACGGGGTTTCTCCATGTTGGTCAGGCTGGTCTTGAACTCCCAGCCTCAGGTGATCCACCTGCCTTGACCTCCCAAAGTGCTGGTATTACAGGCGTGAGCCACCGCGCCCAGCTGAGGTCTACTTACTTCTTTCCACCTGTGCTACCCCTGAGACAGTACGACCGACTCCTTTCTCTTCCTTCTTAGCCTACTCAACATGAAGATGATGACAAGGGTGAAGGAAGGCCTTTATGGTGATTTAATTCTACTTAGTAATAAATGTATTTTCTCTTATGATTTTCTTTTTTCTTTTTTGAGATGGAGTCTTGCTCTGTAGCCCAGGCTGGAGTGCAGAGGCATGATCTTGGCTCACTGCAACCTCTGCCTCTGGGTTCAAGTGATTCTCCTGCCCTAGTCTCCTGCATAGCTGGGACTACAGACGCACACCAGTTTGCCTGGCTAATTATCGTATTTTTAGTAGAGATGGGGTTTTACCATGTTGGCCAGACTGGTCTCAAATGCCTGACTTCAAGTGATCCACCCACCTCAGCCTCCCAAAGTGCTGGGATTACAGGTGTGAGCCACCATGCCCTGCCATAATTTTCTTAATAACATTTTATTTTATCTAGCATATTTATTGTAAGAATACTATACAGCATACATATAACATATAAAATATGTCTTAAATTTTGACTGACAGTATTAAATATGTTACTTAATATGGGCTGACCATTTATGTTATCAGTAAAGTTTCTAGTCAGCAGTAGCTATTAGTAAAATTTTGGGGGAGTCAAAAGTTGTATGCAGATTTTTGACTGTGTGGAGCAGGGGTTGGCATCCCTAACCCCAGTGTTATTGAAGGGTCAACTATAATTTAAAATCTTGCCTTTCTTTTCCCATCCATACTCACTGAGTTGGCAGCTGGGGTGGAGGAGGTCATGTAGGGATTCTTGTGGTCCCAGTGTGTCAGCACCTGTAGACCTCCCTTCTAGGAGTGGTGTGCAAGATGCTGCTGGGATGGACATCAACCAACCCCCAGGGTAGAGGCCAAGTCGCCGTTTGCTAGGTACAGGCAATTGCGTACCATTCCAAAGCTCTCTGTGGTTGCAGTTCATTGTAATGGAGGATTCAGAGAGGGGCAGCCAACCCCAGGCCCTGTGAGCCTGGGACAGCTGTTTGTCCACTTGCTCAGGCTCTTGACAGAGCAGCAGCTTATTGCATGACAGCTTTTTAGGCACTCTCCCTTCTCACCACTTTACCTTTACTTTCTTCTTTTCCTAGTTTTCCCTTTTTCTGAATGAAGACAAGTGATGATTAGCTGCCCCTTTTTTCAGTGGACACATTTGGCATTGTAGAGGAACATGGTACAAAACAATTGTTCATTTAAGATTTCTGTATGTGTCACAAATAGCTTTTCAAGTTTTACATGTCAAAATAGGTCATCAAGGAAAAGTGAAAAAAAAAAAACGTTCACTTTTTATAGTAGACACAATTTTAATAACAAAACTTTCCTGTACACTGCTCTTTATGTTACCCTCCCCCTCCCAAAACCCCCTGAATAATAGTATTTTTTTCCCACCCTCAACCCATCTGCCCACCTCCCACCCAAAAAGAAAGATGGCTCTTGAAAGTGATTGAACACAATGTATTTGGACTGTACTTTGAGTTTCCAGTCTCAGTGTTGATAGGAAGTTTCACCAAACATTCCATATATCAGATTTAAAACAAAAAAACAACCCACTGAGGACAAAATGTTAGTTGAAAGAGTTGCAGAAGTTTCCAAATGTTTGCAATAGCAGAATGAAAGCTCGAACAGTCATTTTCTGTTTGTTTTTGGCCTTATTCAAGTACTATGAGTTTGCTCCAGGTTAGAGAAATATTTAATTATCTATATAGATGGCCTTATTGTCTCTTTTCTTGTCTTTTTCTGGTTCAAGGGCTTTAACCAATAAGATATGAAAAGTATGTCCCAAAACAGACTTTTCAGATAGGTCTGTTGCTGTATTGCTGTATTAGGAAAATGATCATGTAAGTCAGCTGTTAAAAATATTCTTTAACAAATTTTGTATTGATATCCACACTTCAGAAAAAGAACAGGACATTTATAGCTTTTTCCCCTGATAGCTGTGTGTAGGAAGTGTGCCTTAAGAAAATGAAATGCCTGTTTTGAATTTTAGAATTCAAACCTAGTTCTACATGGGGCTCATTTTTATTGGAAAGATGGAGTCTAGCTCTTGGTGACTAGCATTAGAATAAGCAGATGGATTTTAATAATTAATGGCGTTGGGAAGTTCAGTCAATTCCATTTATTGAATTGGTACAGAAATTAACTTAGGCACATTAAGAAATTACATGTGTTAGTACAGATTTTTGGCTTAAAAATTAGTATCTTTGCTTTTTGATGCTGGCAGTGGGTATTCTCAGAGTTGTGTATGGATTTGCAAGTTTATCAGCCCACTCTTTTCAGAAAGGTGATTGAAATCCCTGGCAAGCTTCAGAAATGAATATAAACGATATCAAACTAGTTTTTGGTTTCTTGGTGGTATGATATCATAGTCTTCTTTATCTTTCCTAGTTCCAGAGAGGTTAATTATTTTTCTGGTTCTTAACGGTCATTTTCCCCTAATCTTAAAAATAGGAAAAAAAAAAAAAAATGGAATGAGTGGTGGTGGTGAAGAGGATAAAACCCCACCAAAAAACAAAAGCCCTGACACTGTGTAACCAAGATCCGCAGCGTTGCTGTGATCCTGTTCCGTTCTAGCCAATTGGTAAAGAAAGCACAGATGACTAACAGTCTAATCTTCAAACCTGTGCTGATTCTGAAACACAAATGGACAAAAATTAAAGGAAATCTTGCCTTCTATAGGCAATTAAAAAGGGAAATTTTTGCTTTAAATAAAAAAGGAAAATACCTTTTTGGTACTACTGTTATTCACTTTTCTTAAAGGGCATCACCAAAAAAAAAAAAAAAAAATGGAGGGCAAAAAATTTTGATTTTTTTTTTTTCAACTGGAAAGTATGCCTCACTAGCTATGTTGTTTCTCTGAATTAGTAAATGGCTTGCTTTCCAATTTGCTTTTCTCCGTACACTAAGGATTTTGCCAGTTATGGTCCTTTAAGGATTAAGGTGGAGATTCCCAGCCAAAGAAGGAGGTTTCTTCCCCATCCCAGTTTGAATCTTAATTTTGGTTGTGGTTTGGAATGATGGGAAAGACTCTGTTGCTGTCCTTCAGGGTTGATGGAATCTTGCATGCTCAGGACACAGTTCTGTTGTGACCAGGCTGTCTGTCACCTGACAAATGGCTGTGGTCACTCTGATAAATGGGTTGGTAAATTTTAGCTCACGGAACTCTTATTTGTAACAGGGGCTTCTAATTCAGCCTGTCTGTGGGGAAGTAGGATGCTGTGCTCTATCCTGTTAAATCAGCTTCTGTCTCTGCCCAGACAAGCCCAGGGTCTGGTTTAACAAGAGACAAAAATACCACTCAAGATCAACTGAATTGAACTGGGTTGAGACTTTGACAAACTAATCTGCCCACCTTAAAAATGTAGAGAACATATTGTTACTGTAATTTGTGATCTTGTCTGCTTTTTACTGAGATATGCTAGGTGAAGGGTAGTAAGGTACCTATCTCTTATTATTAAAGAAAAAAAATTGTGATTAAACCTTATGGATTTAACTGTAGTCTGTTATTTTCAGTTCAATCCTGGGAAGAAAATATGCTCTGAATGAAGGATACCATGTTAATGTTGATGTTAGGGAAAAGATCACTTTAAAAATGGTAGTGTTTTTTTCCTAAGATATTATGCCTTTTTTCTACATACAGTAAATGGCAGTTGTAAAAAATAGTAATTTTCTAAAATCAAGTTAGTGCTGTAATTTTACAGTTTTTTGAATATATGGAATGATGTTATATGAAAAAATTCTGTGTGAATGGGAAGCTTGCATCTAAATTCCAAATATGTAATAGACTTTCTGTAGAAATCATAATTGAAGAAACTGAGTACCTGTGATTCTTTTTTGCATGAAAAATGTGGCATTCTTATCATTTGTTAATTATGGAATGTTTATATTTACATTGGAGGATCTACCCCCTTTCCCTTTTCAGCAGCAGGTTCTTTCCCTGTTTGGTGCAGATTGTGTATAATCATTCTTGGCTGTCTTGTAACTCCAGCTAACCTGAGAGTCAGATTTCAAAATCTGCCTTTCCTTTTAATCCCTCACCTCTGTGCAGCCTTCAGGTTACAACTGTGTGGCTGCATAGCCATGTCGAGTTGTTCCACCATGAGATTCACCTCAGTGTTTCTTCACCTACACTGAACTGCACTTACAGTGTGAATGCGTATCTTTATTGAAAGATCAAAATTTATTATATAATAGTTAGAAAGTGCTTTTTTTCCATGGTTCCTTTATAATACAAGAATCAGTGTTATGCCTGTTACTGGCCAATTATTTTTACTTGGCTCTTTGAGGTTTGAAGATCAGGAAAAAGCAGAAGAAAGAGGTTTAAACCCCTTTGTCAAGGCATCTTTGATCATGATAGTTGAGAGAGAGAGAGAGTGAGAGTGAGAGAGAGAGAGAGAGAGATAGTGTGTGTGTGTGTGTGTGTGTGTGTGTGTATATGTATTTGTGTATGTGTATGTGTGCTTTTACATTGGAGGGAGCATGTCAGGATTGTTAAATTGACTCAGTTTGTCTTATCTCCAAAATATTTTCTAAATCTTTTTTCACATATTGTTGTAAACATAGGATTTAGTAAGTTAGTACAATGACAATTAATACTAGTTTAAAACAATTGCCTAAATGCCACAAAAATCATGTCCATTATAAGTGAAACTAGAAATGTATGATAAGAAGTCGGTGTAATTATTTAGTATTGATTTCATTGTAATGAGACCTTTTCACAGTCACTTGGATTCATTGTGTAAATATATTAAAGTCAGTCAGCTTATTAGAATTACATTAAAGAGTTCTGCTTTCATAATAAGGACTTTTGATAATATCTACTAACCCAGGCAAAAACTCTGGAAGAAGAATGTTTAATATTTACCAGTCTTTAGCATACATGAAATTCTACTTCCCACACTGGTAGCAAATTGAAGATTTGAGTAAATACCAAATTATCATACAAGAGAACTTTACTAAGTCTCCTTTTAAGCAGCAAGATAGTTGTGGTACATGGGATGGAGAGCAATGATCAAACAGGTATTGATCCTTATCTGTTTCTGCCCAATACTTCTTTCTAAATTGTTTTCAGTAGAAAAAAATAGCATATGGAGACCTTAGTGTAAAGGTTTACACACAGTTGTATATAATTACATACATTTCTTATTTTGAAGTAAGCATTTTAGACTTTCCAACAGGAGTGCAAATTAATGTGAGCATTGATTCATTTAACACTTAAAATATGGTTCCATTTAAAAAATTAAAAATACTTCAACACTTCAAAAACTAAGTCTCCACTTAGTTTGGAAAATTAGGCTTAATGTCACCATTGGTAAAAATTAGATGTGTATTTAGCCTCTACTATGTAAAATAGGTTACTTATCTGATGTGATTTTTGATGACGGGTAGATATTATACTTCACATTCTTTGTATGGCAGCTGCTGACACTTGCACTGTCCATAACCATTAATGATGATGAAGGGTCCTTCATGGGTGGGTTCATATTCATTATACGGTCCTTGGTCTGACATGTTTGACATATGGAGTCGTGTTTGGGATCGGAGCTGCCTGTGGTTCTGAACCATTGAGCACTGCCTAATTCTTCTTAAAGTGGGAGGGCAGCACTTCCTGGAGATGAACACTATAAAAATAATAAAAAAGAAAGAAAACAATAAAGCCATTGTTCCCGTAATTACCCGCTGAGTGAAGATGGCATTGTCTGGTTCAGGAAAGTGTTCCTCAGTAGTAACTGCTATGCCTGCAGTAGTTGGGATTTCTTTGTCTCCCACATGGTAACTTGAAGAGCTTATTCTTTTTGTATATTCAGTGGTTGGATCTCTGTAAGTTGTAGCCATGACAGTCACAGTGGTTGACAAATTCCAGCAGAGCTGAAATCCATGGACTGCATCTAGAATATCCTCTCCTTGGGTGTGGTCAGGACTGTGGCATAGGATAGAGTGCTCCCACCGACCTTGGAAACTGCCCAGCCAGGAGGCCAGAGCACATATTCGGGCACTGCATTCCCATAGATTGCCAGAGAGGCCAACGGTTGTGAGGGATCTCAGGGAGTTTAAGATCTTGGAATCAAGGCTGTTTAACTTGTTGTTATCCATGAGGAGTATTTTAAGATTAGGCATTGTTTCAAACACTGTCAAGTCGATGGCTTTGATTTCATTTCCAGTCAGGTCTAGCTTTTCTAAAGTGCCCCAGGTCCACTCCATCCCACATGTCAAGTTGCTGATTTTGTTCCATTGTAAGAAGAGTGTGTGCAGACTGCTTAGCCGTAGGAAATGAGCAAAATTAATCTTCGTCAGCTGGTTGTGCTCTAGGTGAAGCTCTCTCAGTTTGATTAATCCTGCAAATCCATTGCGAGCCAAACTTCGCAAACGGTTTGTGCTCAAATCCAGAAACTCCAGACTACGACAGTCCCAGAACAGGCGTACTGGGATAGTCCGCAGGGAGTTGGAACGTAAATGCAAGGTCTGCAGCTTCCGAAGGCCATAGAAGAGCTCTGGGTGCAGAGATGACAGCTGATTAAAAGACAGGTCCAAATTTTGCAGGTTAATCAGTTGGGTAAAAGTTGTGTTTGGCAAGTAAAATATTTTGTTGGAACTTAAGATTAATTCCTTAAGTTTATATAGTCCTTGAAAAGCATCTTCTTTTACTGTTGAAATTTGATTGTGATCTAAGTGGAGCCAGGTAAGTTGACTGAAGCTGGCAAATTGGTCTCTTTCGAGCTCTGTGATGTGATTGTGCCTCAGGGACAGGCCCAGAGAGCCCTTGTCTGTCGTGTTTGGCACTGAGCGGAAGCCCTGAGAGTCGCAGTAGAAGAGCAGCTTCTCGCAGCGGCATTTGGGTGGACACGCCATACCCAGGGCAGGCAGCATTTTTAAAACCATGCTCATTGCATATATTGCTGCCAGCATAGGGGCCCCTAATGGCCACTTGAAATGTAAGCCTGCAGAATATAATTTAAGGAAAACAAGAAAATAGGATATTTTTCATCAGAACATATGGGCTATTAAAAAAAAAAAAACCAACATTATAGCAAAAGATTTCACTGCATATAACTTAATTTTCATTTACTACAGAAAAATTAACCTTATCAGTATGACTGCAACAAAACTTAAACCATTTAAAAAGAAGATAAAACATGTCTCTAGTAGCATCAGCATTATATGCTTTTGCCTAAACCTCAGAATCCAAAATATGACAGTAATTTCCCTCATAAAATGTGAATTCAGTAGCTTATTTTGAAAACGTGATTCCTTGTTGAATGTACAAGACATATAAATGCACAGACTTACCCATTCTTCTGAGCACATTGGAGGCTGCATTCAGTCGCGGTTGTTAGACTCAACGCAGTGAGTCTGTAAAAGGCTCTAACATGTAGGAGCCTTTGACCAGTTTCCTGTTTTCTGTTGTCTCAGGCTTTCCAAGTAAAATTGAATCCACCAGGATGAGTTGTTTTTTTCCTTAAGATATTCCTCTGGAAAGCATTGGTTTCATTTTCTGTGATTGCTCTGATCCTTAAATCAGTTTTGAATATAAGTTACTAAATTTCTCCACCTCTAACTGCTCAGCTGGTTAATCAAAGCTTCAGTCTCCTTTCCGCAGCCGTTAGTTCTCTTGGTCTTAACTTGTTGATGGCAGATGGGTGGCTTGTTGCAGAGAAGAGCTCCTGGAGCAGCATGAGTGCATTTACTGAAAAGCTTTTCCGAGAAACGGCACAAGAATGGATTTGCTTATGTGCTGCGACCACACAGAACTGTATATAGGCTGACGTCACCGGATGACGTGTCTTTTGTTTGGGTTTTCCAGAAGCTTTACTGTTATAAAGCACTGTGCTTTGTAACAGCATCAGGGTCGTTGCAAGACCCCCTGATTACAATAAAGCGAGAAAGAAGAAGTCTTGACTTAAAAACATGGTATTCCTTCAGTGTAGGAAGCAGCAGTGAGGTTGTAATAAAGGCTGCATTCAAGAAGACCCATCTGAACAGTGAGTTGGGTTAGCAGAGTGATGATTTTTAATGCTTGTGAGAGCCAGTGTTAGACTGCCGATTCTGCATAGAGAGATCATCTAAATGGGCAGAAGCCTGCACGATTTACGAAGTGCTGATTTAACACCAGCCTATGCAAGGTAGTGCTGCTGCTCTGGTAGTTTGGGAAGCTATTCAGTTGCCTTGTTGTCATGCTTGGTTAAAATAGAAGTGTGACTATAATTTGCTTTAGATGTGTTGATAAACTAGCTAAGTGGGCTTGGCTTCTTTGTTACCAAGAGCTTAACATTATAAACCAAGAATTAAGGGGGAGGGGAAGCTTGCAAAACAAAGCATGTGGTTATTTTTTTCTTTGAGAATTTCAGGGGAACTCTAACTCTAAAAAGATTTTCTTTCTGTCTCCTAATTTATAACAATGTTTTGTCGCCATACTGTCTGAAAAATAATGCTGAGTTGATCTTTAAATGTCCTCTTGGGAGGACAAGGCAGGTTGATACAGTCATTTTAATGCACATGCCCTAAGCATTAACAGTGAAGCAGAGATGATTTAGGACAAGTGATATGGTGTAGCTGGATTCTGACATGGTCTCTTGTATTTACCTCAGAGTCTCACCTACTCCATAACTAAAAAGCCTCCGCTGGTACTGAGGTTGGTGGTTGTGACACTGAAATAATAGAGCATTTGCACACTAGTTGCCACTGACTGACTTAACTGAGCATCCTACTGTTGTTGGAACCTATCTTGTTAATACAAAAGGTCACTCATGCTTTGGACTGGGATTTTTGTTTTGGCATGTTTTTGCTTGCCCTAACTCTGGTTTTTTCCCTGTTGAATGGTGTCATCACTTTTCAGACCTCACTTATGGATGTATTAGCTCCATGTTTAGTGTTATGTAAACACAAAAGATATTTCTAGATGAATCAGTGTTATATTTTCAGGCCTGACAAAGGTAAGGCCTTTCATACATCTTGCCTTATTGATTTGATCCAACATACCTATTTCTCCCGAATCATTGGCACTTATCCTTTGTGGGTCTTGTCTCAGACCTGAGGACAGAAATCTTTAAAACTACTGGTGGTGCCTGTGAAACAAGAACATTGTTGCAGAATATAATTTATTGTACAGAATATAATTTAAGGACAATAAGAATATAATACATTATATTCTAAATTATATTCTAAAGAACATTGTTGGCCTTTTCAGTTCTGAGGGATTCATCCCACTGGGCAGATCTAAGAAGTAATTAATTGTCTTGGGTAAAATTTTTCTGTTGTAGTGTTGTGCTGGAGTGAGAGTTGTGAGTCTCCAAGGCCCTTCCTTAGGACACTGTGTAAAGGTGCTGTGAAAACTGCAGCAATGCAGGTGTGTGGTTTGAGCCCTCCTAGAAGTGATTCCAAGATAGGATTAGAAGTACAAGGGGAAAAAATGCCTAGGAAGTACAGGGGACACAGAAGGCAGTAGGAATGCTCTGAGAGTCTTCATACCACAGGGCAGGTCTGATACCTGTGAAGGGAGAGGGGAAGCAAAGAAGATGAGATCGACAGTGTGGTTCTTAGACAAATTTCATGGGCTGAATGGAAGTTTCTAAGCTGAAGTTGCCAGTGAACAGACTCTTGGGTCCTTAGCAGTGAGCCTGCACTAGTAAGTACATCCTCTCTGTTCTTTCTTGTTGGTTAAAGAAGGGAAGGAAGCTGGGCACGGTGGCTCACGCCTGTAATCTCAGCACTTTGGGAGGCCGAGGGAGGCAGATCACAAGGTCAAGAGATCGAGACCATCCTGGCCAACATGGTGAAACCCCGTCTCTACTAAAAAATACAAAAATTAGCTGGGCATGGTGGCACGCGCCTGTAGTCCCAGCTACTCGGGAGGCTGAGGCAGGAGAATTGCTTGAACCCAGGAGGCGGAGATTGCAGTGAGCCGAGATTGTGCCACTGCACTCCAGCCTGGCACCTGGCGACAGAACAAGACTCTGACTCAAAAAGAAGGGAAGGAAGTCAGGCACCGTGGCTTACACCTGTAATCCCAGCATTTTGGGAGGTCGAGGCAGGCAGATCTACAAGATCAGGAGTTCGAGACCAGCTTGGCCAACATGGGGAAACCCTGTCTCTACTAAAAATACAAAAATAAATTAGCTGGGCACAGTGGCGGGCACCTGTAATTCCAGCTACTCGGGAGGCTGAGGCAGGACAATTGCTTAAACCCAGTTGGTGGAGGTTGCAGCGAGCCGAGATTGTGCCACTACAACTCCAGCCTGGGAGACAGAGCAAGACTCCATTTTGAGAAGGAAAAAAAAAAAAAAAGGGAAGGAAACAACAGGTCCTGGTTTAGACCCCGAGAATGCTACTCCCCCCATGACCTTAATCCTTTTTATAGTCTCTCTCAGTAGGCTAGAACTTCTTAACCTGGTTCCATAAACTGTCTGGTGAAATTTTTTTTGCTTGTTCATTTTTTTGTGGATAAGGTTGAGTCAGATTCCTACAGGGTCTCTCACCCTAGGTTTCAGAGCTACTGTTCTACAGGAACTTGCCCCCAAAAGTTCTAAGGACAGTAGTCTCATAGGAGTGGTCTCTCTTAAATTTCTGAAATGAAAATAAGCCCTTGGGATGTTGTAAATGCCCATATTGAAGTTAGCCACCTTCTGATGAAAAAAACCCTTTGCTACACAGGAGAAGCTGGATTAAATTTTTCTCTGAATTAATCACTGTAGTTCAATGGGGAGAAAAGCATTTTAGTCAGTTGGATTAGAGCCACCATGATTAGGAATGAGTTGTATGTTAACATGAAGGAGGACGAGCATCTCCTTCTCCTTAAACTCTTGGATTTTAGTCTACTTGGCCTACCTCTTATATACTAATAAATGGAAACTACTTAAATAATATTATCTGAGTACTATGATAACAGATTTGTGGGTAAGGAAAATTGCCCAGAGAAGCAATCAAGAGTAATTATTTTTTGATTGCCTCTAAAGAAGTGGGAAGTAATGCTTGCGGTATCATGGTGCCCAGAGAGCACAGCCTCTTCCAGGTCACAAGCCATCTTTCTCACCTGCCCACTCTGGATTCAAGAGGTTCAGGCTGTGGAACCAAAGAAGACGTGGAGTTTGCCTTAAAATTGGTAGAGTACAGAGTTCCCATTGATGGAATTTTGTATCATTTTTTGGTCTTTATCTTTCTTTAGCTAAAAGGGCTAAATAGATGTACCTGTTCTTTATAGTTTTTCTTGGTTTCACTGTAGAGCAGCTTTCTTCCTCAAACATACGCCTTGACTTAAAGTGGCAGTACTACTTCTGGAAGGTACTGTCCATATGATCTGTTTCAATTTTCACTGTTTTAGATGTTCATGATGAGGCAAAGGAGAAGTAAAATCTAACCCATCTCCTATCTGTAAATGGTTTTAAGCAAATTAAATGAGTCAGGGCTTAGGTGGCTGTAGTTGTTTGCATTCATCCACATGAGAGTTTGCATTCATCCACATGAGTGTTGCCGATTAGGGCGTTATTCCCCAACTCAGAGAAGCAAATGTACAGATATATTCATGAAATTTTCTATTCTTCTGTGGGAGGGAGGGTAGAAAGGGAACTTTATATTTGCTTTATGCTAAAAATGCAAATGTTTCTTTCATCATACCCAAATCCAAGAATTGTGTATGCCCTGGCACCAAAGTGTTGCCTAGAGGTGTTTTGAAGAAGCTTGTTAAAATAAACCTTGTTGCTGGCAGTCTCAATCCCGGGTTTTTTTTTTTTTTTTTTTTTTTTTTTTTTTTTTTTTTAAAGAGCTATTTTTAGGGTGGAGGTCCTAGATTTAATGGGTCTTATGTCCTCTGCTAAGAACCTTTTGAGGTTTTAACTGGTAACCACATGCTTAGGCTTATGGTATAGCCAGACTTGTATTAGAGTAAGTAGGTTTCACTAGCTTGTCTTTTTTGAAGAAGTCCACATTAGACTACCAGAATCTGCATTTTTGCCTGGATCCTTGTCTCCATCCCTGCCTTCTGTTGATTTTATTTTGTTTTTTGTTGCTGTTGTTTTACACAGTGTCTTCCCTCTGTCACCCAGGCTGGAGTGCAGAGGCACGATAATAGCTCACTGTAACCTTGAACTCCTGTCTCAAGTGATCCTCCAGAGTAGCTAGGATTACAAGCACATGCCACCATACCCAGCTGATTTAAAAACTTTTTTTGGTAGAGACGGGGTAGGGGTGGGGTCTCACTGTGTTACCTAGGCTGCCTTCAAGAGATCCTCTTGCCTTGGCCTCCCAAAGTTTCTGGGATTACAGGTGTCAACCACCATGCCAACTGATTTCGATTTTTAAGGTCCTTTTGTTATCTTGTTAGTAAACACAATTGAGAAAGCAGTAGAAAGGGATTCTGGGTACACTAACAATGGTAAGCGTTGTTTCTTTGGATGTACCTTATACATTTTGGGATATATCCTTCTAGTTTTGGAAATGTGCATTTCAGCAGTTGTTGCTATTGGGGAGGGTTCAGAGTCAGAATCCTGTGACAGCCTGCTTCTCTTGTATTCTGTGTCCAGGGCTAGATAATTCAGCAGGAAATCTTGGAGCAGTGCATCTAAGTTGGACATTAGGTTACGAAAGATCTTCCATAGAGGTTTGGACAGATGAATGTTTATACCAAGAAGATCTTTTCTTTTTCCTATTAAAGACATCAAAACAAAAATAACAGAAGCGGTCTTGAAGTTTTTATGTGTGTTTGTTTCTTTGTTTTTGAGACAGGGTCTCTGT